GCTCAGTTCCTACCTAGAACCAGGAAATACTCAACTCATAATTGTTGGGTATACAGACATTGCTGCTGCCATTATTAACACTTTGGAAAGCAATGAGGTACACAGCAAGAGCTATAAGTAAGACGTAATATTTGGCTAAACCATCTATTTCTTTCTGAAAATAATCAGTGGGAAAAAAAAGAGGAAAAGGAAGACATGAAGATGATGATTCCTTCAATCTCTGATAGGGTAAACAAACAATAAAGATGCCAGGGAATGATTTTATTAAATGATCATCAATATAATGGAAAATGTGCAGCCTTAAAATCCCAGTCATACAGACTCCATGCAGTTAGGTGGGAAGATTCTAAACAAAACAGAACAGGTATGTGCTTTTCAAATTGAGTCACGTGGGAAGTTGACATTTCAGTTGGTGAGACCAAAACCTAGAACTGCTACTTGTTTTGGTATTTGCACATTCTGGGCTCTGGACCCCTCCCTGGATTCCTCCAGCAGTTGGGGCCTGTTCTGCCTGCTGGGCAGGCGGACCAACAGCAGAGCTCACCGAACTCCCACTCACCAGGATCCACTATTTGTGTTCTTCCGATTTTCAGAAATCTGGCTCCTCTGCTTCCCAGTTGGAATCTGAAGTGCAACTTCATTCATTCGCTCGTTCATTCATCCATCCATCCAACAAAGGACCTACTATGTGCCGGGCATTCTCCTAAATGCTAGATAAGAGAGATGCTACGCAGATAAGGTCTTTGCTCTCATGGAAGCTACGTCGTGGGGAAGACAGAAGATTGCTCAGGAACACCCGTCTCTCAGGCCGTTCCCGCCTCCTCTCAGCACCCGGACCGCCGGCCTGCAAACCCTCAACCCGGCCTGGCCGCCAGCTGCGTTTCCCCGGGGAAATCAAGAGCCGCTACGTCCTCCTTACTGCGCCGTCGGGGCAACTCGGGACCCTGTTTAATGTCCCCCATGCACACGGAGCCCTTCAGGATGGCCCTGCTTACCTTTCCAGCGTCAGCTGCTTCGACTCAGAATCTCCCGGCCCCGCGAGACTCTGCGAGGCGGAGGCGCCCCTCTGCCAACCCCCGCAGGCCCACATGGCGGCCTCGCTAGACCGGGCCGTCAGCCTCCGGGAACGCGTTCTCCCGTCCGCCCGCCCCCAGCTCCGCCGAGGCACAGCGTCCTGCGCCCCGGAGTGCAGCCCTGGGTGCGGACAGGCACTGCGCCTCGTGGGTCCCCCTGCCAAAGGACATGCCCCCGGGCAGAGTCTGTTGGGTGAATGAAAGAGTAACGGTAGGCTTTCCAAAACGGAAACTAGGTATCCCGGGATGCCTGCACTTCCGGGTGGCAGTCCACTTGGCTCCCAAGGGAGCGAGAGAGGGAGGAGAGGAAGGGTGTCCCCCAAGGGGCTGCTCTAGGAAGAGGGCTCGGTGGTCTGGAGGACCCAGAGCGTTGCGCGGAGGACCTAGGCGCCTAAGTCTGCGTCTGCGTATTAGCCGCCCTCCGCGAGAAGGCGGGGCCTAATGGAGCTTGGGGCAGGGCGCGGGGCCCCTGTTAGCCAGTTAGCGCGCAGGATTTGGCGGAGGGGCGGAGCGAGGTGAGCCCAGGAGTTGGAAAGAGCTTTCATCAGATTCTCAAAGTGGGTGGTGGGTGAACAAAAATCTCACACACACACACACACACACACACACACACACACACATACGTATATAATTGCATATCTTGTGTCTCCCACGGAGGACACACACACACACACACACACACGTATATAATTGCATATCTTGTGTCTCCCACGGAGGACACACACACACACACACACACACGTATATAATTGCATATCTTGTGTCTCCCACGGAGGTTAGGTAGACCACCACACTCCTAATCATTGTTCCGTGAGCATCAATCTTTCTGTTCCTCTGAATGCTTTCCCATTTCTGGGTTACTGTAATGCACAGTTTAAAGATGTTAGGAAAAGAATGTTCATTCCAGTTCTGAAGACCTATCTGCATAGCAAATTTCTGGGCCTTTATATAAATATGGGCTTCCAAGACTCTCATATATTCACTTTTCCAAGTTTAAGTTAAAAACAAAAGTGATAGGAGCAGGCCGAGCAGAATGCTGTTCTGGAGAGTGCTGACTTCTGTCATAATACATAGATGTTGCATAGAGATAAGGAGACTCTCCAGCCTTCAGCCCTTAGGGCTAACAGGCAAGTTTCTATCTGATCATGGTATGAGGCCTGATTCTTTTCTTTTGTGGTGTACTATTATTTTGTTTTTAAATATTTTTTAGTTGTAGTTGGACACAATACCTTTATTTTATTCACCTATCCCTATGTGGTGCTGAGGATTGAATCCAGGGTGTTGCACATGCTAGGTGAGCACTCTACTGCTGAGCCACAACCCCAGCTCCTATTCTATAATTTAAAGCCATGATTTATGATGTTTCTGTCTCTGGTCTGGAATGCAAGTTTACTAATTGGAAAACTATGCATTCCTTTACAACATGATTCTTAGGAACACACTGGCACATAAAGGAGGATATATTTGAATTCACATATCATTTTCAACTGTTATAAGAAGGTAATAGAGTGAATAATCAGGGCTGTCTTTGACATCACAGTTAATGTTCTATTTCTTTTCAGTTAAATAAGCTTTTCTATAACTTTTATTCTTTTTTCCCTCTTGCCTGGTATTATGGTTTGGTTATGAGGTGTCTCCCAAAAGTTCCTGTTAATACAGGAATATTTAGAGATGAAATTATTAGATTATGAGAGCTATAACCTAATTAGTCCATCCTAGTTTGAATGGACCAACTGGCTGGTAACTAGAGGCATGTGGGTGGCTGGAGGAGAGGGGTCACTGGGTTATACCCTGGGAGGGTGCATCTTCCATGAAGCCCTTAGATGTCCCTATCTTCTTTTCTTCCTTGCTGCCATGAGGGGAGCAGATTCCTCCCTACTAGGCCCTTCAGCCATTAATGAGCTTCCCTACCTTGGCCCCAGAGCAACAGAATTGCCATCTATGGATTGAGACCTCTGAAACTGTGAGCCCCAAATACACTGTTCCTCCTCTAAGTTGTTCTTGGTGGGTGTTTTGGTCACAGCAACACAAAAGCTTACTGAAACAAAATTTGTGTCCAGTAGTGGGGTTTTTGCTACGTCTAATCTGACCATGTTGTTCAGAACTGATTTGTAAGAATTTTGAAAATTCTAGAGATGCAAGCTGGAAAAGCTTTAAGGTGTTGTAAGCACAGCTTAATGGGTGACTCTAGTGAGAGCTCAGAAGACCCAAATGCCAATAGGAATGTGGATTGTGCATATGTGGTTTCAGAGGGAGTTGAGGACTCTTGGGAATTGGAATAGAGGCCACCATGTTATATTCTGACAGAGAACTTGTTTCTATTTTGCCCACATCCTGAGACTTTGTGTGAGGCTGAATTTATTAGTTACTCTGGTGGAGGAAATTTCAAGGAGTCACACATTCATTCAGTGGCATGGATATTGCTGGTAGCTTTTAGCCAAGTTTACTGTAAGAACTGGGAGCAGAAAATGGAGCGCTAAAGTTTGATTTTTAAAAATGTGAAGTTTGGTTAGAAAAACACGTGTAAAGCTGGGACCAAGAAAGGTGTGCTTGTTGAAAAATATTATAGCCACTAAAAAGATGCTAAGTTATTTGCACAGGACAATAGGAAAGATGAATTGAGGGCATCTCAAGGACTTGCAAGACTATACCTACTATAGACACCAAGGTATAGAAGAGAAAATTCTTTTCAGAAAAGATAATGGTTGGGTCCTGCTTTCAGAGGGGGCACTTAGGAAGTTTGTTTTGCCGTGCTGAACTCTGCAGGCACTCAGAGGCCACTGCAGCTATGATCCCAGGGAACCAGGTATTCCCGTGAACTGGCAGTAGACCTTGATGTTGACCACATGGTGCTGGTTCTACAGGAACTCAGGATCCTGGGGTTAAGGGGTCATTGAGGCTTCCTCTGAGATTTCAAAGGCAGGCCAGGGAGTTCAGGCAGAATGTAGCAGAGTCAGAGTCCCTGAGCACTGCCCCTGAGAGGGCAATGCATGAAGCTACAAAAGTGAAGCCAAAGTAAGAATGAGACCACAGGAATTAAGAGAGGCCAGCAATGTGGACTGTTTGCTGAGAGAAGCTGCTGGGTACAGAGAGAGCTGGGCTAGAGCCTATGTGTACTGAAACCAGCAAGGTTAAAGGAGCAGACCTGCCCAACCCTTTGGAAGTGACATCTCTCAGTCATGTGTCCTAGCTGCTGTAGAAGAAGTTAGGCAGAGAATTCTGGGACCTGTGTTGTCCAGCTGAGTTTTGGTCTTGCTTTGGCTTCACTTCTTCTTCCTGTACCCCGGTTCCTTCATTTGGAGTTGGGGATGTTCACTCTGTGCCACTGTATATTGGACATATGTAACTTGCTTTTGAATTTTTTTAGGAGTTCACAACCAAGAATTTGTCTCAGGTCTCAAAGGAGACTTTGGACTTGGGCAATACTTAAACTGTTAAGACTATGTGGCTCCTAGAGAGGAACTAAATTAATTTTGCATTGAAAGATGGATATAAGCTTTCGGGGGCCAGGGGCAGAGTGTTATGGTTTGGATATGAGGTGTCTCTCAAAAGTTCCTGTTAGTGCAGGAATATTCAGGATAAAATCATTTGATTAAAAGAACTATGATCTAATCAGCATCTTCTAGTTTGAAGGGACTGACTGGGTGGTACCTATAGGCAGGAGGAAGTAGGTCCCTGGGAGAAGGCCCTGGAAGCCAGCATCTTCCCTGTGGCCCTTTCCCCTTTCCCTCTCTCTCTGCTTCCTGCTGTCACGGGGGTTGGGGAGGGGCGGGGAGCAGCTTTCTCTCACTGGGCTCTTCTGCCATCTCACCTTGGGCCCAGAGCAATGAAGTTGGTTATCTATGGACTGAGACCTCGGAAACCGTGAGCCCCAGATAAACTTTTCCTCCTCTGAACTGATATGATCGAAAAAAAAAATAAACTGATATAATCGAGTATTTTGTCACAGCAACACAAAATCTGACTGATTTTTTGTTGTTTTGTGCCACGTGGGATGATCTAACATCCTACTAGACAGGGTTCTATGTGACCTGGGCTCTTGGTGTTGCTCCTGAACTTCCTGTTTCTCTTTCCTTCACTTCCGCTGGGTCTTCCTTCCTGCTCTACACCTTTGGCTCCATTGTTTTCTTTCTGCTTGGCTTTGTGACTGACAGCCAGAAGAATGACAAACCCTAACAGCTCACTTCTTGTGGTCAAGTGCTAATAAAGGGGTGCTTTCCTGAGCAGGGTGGGTAAAAGAGGTGATTCCTTCCATTGCTGCCCCTGAGCCTGAGTGGCTGGAACTCAAATAGCTGTTAGCACAGCCCATTTTATTTTGTTTCTCACTTTCCCCCCTTAAACTCCAACTAATTCAGCAATGTTTTTACCAAGTGTGAATATAAGCCACGCAAGAGAGAGCAGTGTATTCACTCACTCGTTCACCTATTTTTTCAATACGTGCTGATTATTGGCAGAAAAAAAATAAGTCTAGGGTTGACTTAGCTCAGTTAAGGACAGCATTCTTGCTATCTGCCTCCAAAAGATCTACAGGGCAGAAAGAAATCTATAAGCTAATAGTGAAGATCCAATTATGTTCATTGTCTTTGATGGTATCACTGACAGATTTTGTGGCTTTATGTATAGTTTTGAATGTCTAAAGCTACTAATAATACTAAATTAATTCCCCTACTTTGCTTTTATAAGAAAGGAAAAGCTACTCTTATTGAATGTTTAGCTTCTGAACCAGAATTTAAATTATCATTGTGATGATGCAGAATGTGGCAGCATCGGGAATGGCCTCTGAGGATTAGCTCCCCATGATCTCCATTAGCCTCCCTCCCCAAAACCACCCTAAGAAATCACATGATAGTCTTCTTAAAATTTGAAATGTAGCACGCAGACAAGGCTCCAAGATACACAACCTAGCCAGCGTCACCCACTTCCAACCAGATCCCCATCCCTAAAGCACTTCTGTGTAGCTATTCTATAACTTCCACTGGTCCTCTCCCACTTTTTTTTTTTTCATAGTGTCCTCACTCCAAGTTCCTAAGTATCTGAGGCAGCCAATTTTAGTCAGTTGTTTCAAAGTCATCCTGAAGAAAGCCCTAACTAGATGCCATCGATAAACAGGTACACAGTAAAATAAGCATAGCACCACCACAAGAATATTCACGTCAAGCATATTTGTCAACTAGAAAATTTGTTGCTATTTTCACAAAAGGATGTCCTTTCATCTATTTATGTTCAACTCATAAATTTTTTCTGTTGTTCACTCTGAGTAAAGTTGCTTAAATATCAGAGATGAATACTTACTGCATTGACACACAAAAACAGTTAAGCTTGTATCTAAAACTCCATGGATATCTAATCAGTATTTTTCCTTTTCCTTGAATGGTGTTGTGGTTTGACTATGAAGTGTCTCCCAAAACCTCTTGAGTGAGACAATGCAAGAATGTTCAGAGGTGCAATGGTTAGATTATGAGTTGGAACTTAATCAGTGGATTAATCCATTGCAATGGCTTAACTGGGTGGCAACTGTAGACACATAGAGTGTGGCTGGAGGAGGTAGGTCATTGGGGCATTCCTTTAGGGTTCATGTTTTGGTTCCTGGTAAGCGAGCTCTCTCTGCTTCCTATTACCATGTCCTGAGCTGCTTTTTCCCACCATATCCTTCCATAATGTTCTGCATCACCTTGGGCCCAGAGCTATGGAGTCAGCTGTCTGTGAACTAAACCTCTGAAACTTCGAGCCAAAATAAATTTTCCTCCTTTACATTGTTCTCGTCAGGTCTTTTGGTCACAGTGACGACAAGTTGATTTAAACAAACAGGCCTTGATGATATTTACATTTTTCTGCATGTGAGAGTGGAAGTGAGAACCAGATGCTGACTTGTGTTTCTTACAGAAGTGAAATCACCCATTCCTGCATTGAGATGATGTTTCTGGGATGTTGTCCACACAGCCATGGCTGAGTCTGGGCATGTCTGTGATTGGCGAAACAATTTGGAGCAGCATTGGAGAAATTTTGTGGGAGAAATTGAGTTCAATGATTATTATACATCAGACAGTTTTTTTGGAAAAGGAAAAACCCCAGGTATTTAGCTACATTCAGAATACAACATAGGATTCATGCTGGATATAAAAAATCCTTAAATGTAATGAGCATGGGAAAACTTTTACATCTTATACAACAGAGAATCCACATCAGAGCAAAGCCATGTGAATGTAAGGAATGTGGGAAAGCAGTTCAGGGAAACTCAGATCCTATCAGACATAGGAATGTTTGAGGTAGCAAAATTCTATGGAGGTGATAAACGTGGGAAAACCTTTAACCAGAGTCCAAACTTTGAAGGACATTATATAAATCACATAAGAATGTGGAAGAACTTTCAAGGAAATAAAAACTCATTCAGTATATCATATCAGAGAGATAACATTTGAGTACAGGAAATCTTTCATTTAATTTTTATACTTTTTTCAACATTAATCAAGGGATTTACACTAGAGAAAAACCAGATGACTGTAAAAGAGGTGAAGAAATCCTCGGGCAGAACTTGTTATGGTTTGGATCTTTAAGATTCTCCAAAGAGCTCATGTGTCAGGTGAGTGTTCAGAGGTGAAGTGATTAGATTATAAGAGTTGTAACCTCATCAGTGGATTAATCCATTTATGGATTAACAATTTGAATGGACTACTGGGTGGTGACAGCAGACAGGAGGGGGTGTGGTTAGAGAAAGTAGATCACTGGCACATGCCTGTGCCCTTGGGGATCATATTTTATCCATGGCTCCTCCCTTTCTCTCTGCTTCCCAGCTGAGTTGAGCAGCTTTCCTCCACCGTGTTCTTCTGTCATGATCTTCTGCCACACCGTGGGCCCCCCGAGCAATAGAACCTAACAATCCTGGACGAAACCTCTAAAGCTGTGAGCTCCCAATAAGCTTCTTTTCCTCTATATTGTTCTTGTCAGGTATTTTGATCACAGCAACAAAAAGCTAACTACCATGGCTACTAAGGAACCAGAGAATTCACGGTGGGGAGAGGCCCTGTGGGTATGATGTCTGTTGGAGGAGTCCACCTGGTGCTTAGATTTGGAGCAACTTATGGTCTTTCGGGAACTAGAAGGAAATTCTCCTTCAAAGATTAGCCTGACAGCCCCCTGGGAGACATTCTGTCCTGAAGGCATCCTGCAGCTACCTATCTCCCTGGAACATCCTGCGGTTATCAGGATCATCAGACATCTTGCAGCTGGCAGTTTTACGACCCACATCCAGCAATTGCAGAGACCTTCCCCATCCCTAGCATATGAATACCCACCCAGCAATTGCTGATTAGAGAGCTTCCCCATCCCCAGCATATAAATACCCCTGTGTGAACAATAAAAGTTTGCAGCTTGATCAGAACTTTTGTCTTGCTGTCACCTTTCGCATCTCTTGTCCCTTCATTCCTCCCCATCTAGGTTCGCTGGCTGCCCACATTGATGTGTCCTGCCGGACGGGACAGTGGTCACGCATACAGGAGAGAAACCACACAGATGTAGCCTCTGCGGAAATACATTCTGAGAAAGCATAAAACTTACTCAGCACCAAATAATTTATACTGGAAAAAAATATTAGTGCAATAGCCGGGCCCGGTGATCATTGCCTGCAATCCCAGCAGCTTGGGAGGCTGAGACAGGAGAATTGTGAGTTCAAGTCAGCCTCAGCAACTGTAAGGCACTAAGCAACTCAATAAAACCCTGTTTCAAAATAAAACACAAAATAGGGCTGGGGATGTGGCTCAGTGGTCAAGTGTCCTTGAGTTCAATACCTGGGGACCACCCAAAAATATTGCTTCAAAGCATGCAGGAAATGGTTTGGAGAAAGTTTAGCCCCCTCTCATCATTAAAAAGTTTCTACTGGGACTGGGGTTGTGGCTCAGTGGTAGAACGCTTGCCTAGCACGTGTGAGGCTCTAGGTTTGATTCTCAGCACCACATATCAATAAATAAAATAAAGCTCCATTGACAACTAAAAAAATTTTTTAATTTCCTACTGAAGAAGAAAACTTATATGTGAAAGGCATGCAGAAAAGACTCCAGTTGATGATCCAGCCTAATCTATCATCTGAGAATTCATATTGGAAAAAACCCTTAGGAATGTGAAGAATGTGAAAGAACTTTCAACTCTCAAGCTCACCTCTTACTAGCTACCAGAGAATCCATAGTGAAGAAATGAGTTTGGAGAAGTTTTCTGGGGACACTAGAAGTTTATTAAGCATCAGAGCATTTGTATCAAAGATTAGTTTCAAGGACTAAGATTTTGAGTGTGCCTTGTTATCTTCTGCCTCTCAGACTCTCTTAGTCCCTGTCATTTTGGAATGCCATTTCATACCTGGTTTCATATTTCGACTTGTAGGAGGGTTTCTTCCATACCAGGGCATCTTCAATACGTACTGATGAAATCTAAGAAGTGATAGAGGAGAACATGGAACTTTGCAGGTTCAGAATTCCATAGGACACTGAAGAAGCTTGAGGGAAAAGTCAGAAGAATGTATCTTGAATACTGTTGTGGCTCACATTTAATTTGTCCCCCAGAGGTCCATGTGCTGGTTCTCCGTGGAGCTGCCCTGAAAGGTGTGGAACTCTTAAAGGTGGGGCCTGGTGGGAGGTGTCTGGGTCAAGACCACCTTTGTAAAGGGATGAACTGTAGGTCAGGCAATGGCAGCCACCAAAAAGAGGAAGATTTAAAAAGGCTGCTGAAAGGCTTTATTGAGAGAATAAGAAGAGGGTCTAAGAAGAAACCACTTGGGGACTTGACCAGACTGGAATTTTTATTGGGCTTAGGGCAGGAAGGGAGGGATTGGGACAAGAAAAGGGGTTTTTAGAGTCACTGTCCCACTGGAGTTGTTGTTGTTGTTGTTAGTGGTGGGGCTGGCTAAGATCCAGGATTGGCCAGGAGACTCCTCTGATTGACAGGTGGTTCCTTGGTGCCTGATTGGTGTTTCTTTCACTGGCTTCGAGTGTGGGCTGCTTGGTGCTTTGTTCCTAAGTCACCTTCATCAACCTGACGTGAAAGATGGTCTGGCAGAGGCAGTTAGGTCTTGCAATAGTGAGTTAGTTCCCTTGAGAGAGGGTTATTATTACAAGATAGTGGCCCCTCCCTACTCTCTTGACATGTGACCCAAATACCTGTCATGTGATACCATCGCCATATCAGAAGACCCACACCAAGACTGTGAGCTCAATAAACCTCTTTTACTTTATAAAATACTGAGCCTCAGGTATCTTACAGCAACACAAAATAGAATAAGACAAATCCAAGAGGAAGTCTTGTGGTCAACTGTATCTGCTAAGTCTGACACCACTGGAGCTCATTCATGCCCTGTGAATCTGGTCATTTCCATGGGCTGCAATTTTACATCATTAGGGATTACTTCAGATGGGTATTGGCTGGGCAATTTTGCTTGAATTGAGTTCAGAGTTTAATGGAATACTCTTCACTGGGTGTATAAGTTAGGAAGATGTCCGTGTAATGAAAGTTGTGTGTTTTATTTTAAAATCTTAGAATTTTATAGCAGGAAGTGATCAAAGGTCCTTCCTTAATTCAGCTTCTCATTTTTCAAAGGACACAACATGATCAAATGGTTAGGTTATTCTCTCAAGTTTTACTAGCCAGTAAGGAAGCCCTCCTAGGTCTCTGACTCTCAGTCCACAGCCATTTCCCTAGGCACCATCACCTCTCTTGATATGTGGCAGATCAACTTTTTTTGGAATGTAATTTTGATGCAACATCATCTATTTCTGGAAGAAAAAAAAGTCAGGTAGCTCAGTCATTTGTAAAGAGGAATGTCTTTAGAACGAGATCACTCAAAATGTCCCAGTATATAAAAGACATCCCCTCCCACCACTTGGAAGTATTCAAATGCTAGAAAGGATGTGCCGGAAGGCCAGCTGTGACTAAGAGCCAAGGAGGCTGCTTTTCTCTGAAAAACAAGATCCTATCAAGCTGGGCAAATCTGAGAGCTCGCTAAGGCATTGAACCCTTCCAAATGTCAAAATTGTTAAGGTATTTTTAAAATGTGAGACTTTTGTTGATTGAACAGCTGAAATAGGATGAAAGCAGAGGAAAAGGGTGAAGAAATCTCTCCCTTAGAGAAGTTAAGTTTTATATATTTGGAAGGTTTTTATTCAACAGTGAACAAAGAAGCCTGAGCTCTATGTATGGGATGGGTTGAGTCGTGTCCCACCACCTGCCACATCAGAGGTTGAACTCCTAACCCCCAGAACCTCAGAATAGACTCTATTAGAAACAGAGTCTTCAAAGAGGAAATTAAGTTAAAATTAGGTCATTAGAGTGGGTCTCATAAGAAGACTGGTATCCTTAAAAAGAGGAAATATCAGGACAGACACACAGAGGCAAGGCCCTGTGGGCAGAGGGAGAAGATGGCCTTGACCAAGACAGGGAGAGGCCTCACCAGGAACCAATATTGCCAATACCTTGATCTGTGGCTCCCAGCTTCTAGAACTTTGAGGAAATAAATTTCTGTTGAAGTCAGCCAGTCTGTGCTCCTTTGTCACGGTGGCTCTAACAAACTAAAGTGACATGCAAAAGTCAGGCAGCTCATATCTTTTTATAACTATATAAGGACTCTTTTGTATTTTTATTCAGAGACAGGGTCTCACTGGGTTGCTTAGCACCTCATTTTTGCTGAGGCTGGCTTTGAACTTGTGATCCTCCTGCCTCAGCCTCCTGAGCAGCTGAGATTACAGGCGTGTGCCACTGTACCAGCCATACAGGACATCTTTATGAAGTCCTGGTGTCATCTTTCCTATTCCAGAGCTTTCTGGATCTGACTCCCAGGCGAACCTTGTGTTTCCTGGCCCCATTCACACTGTGGGTGCGGCATGCAGACACAGCCTTTCAGATCTGAGGCTGAGCTCCCCAGAGCTGTGATCACCGAGGCTCTGAGTAGGGCTTGACTTGTTCTCTACTTGTTCTCTAATCTGGGCTTCAGAACATCTTCTCTCTCTCTCTTGTCTGGCATTCTGGTGGTGGGGGGCTGGGGAGTCTGCAGAGAAGTCGGAGGTGGGCACGGAGCTGAGCTTCCATGCACTTTGCCCTTCAGAAGCAAGTGGGTGGTGGTCTTCCAGCTCAGGGAGAGGCTGGACTCAGACCTACCCCTCACCCACTCGCCTTCCCTTCTCTGGCCAGGCCTGGGTTGCCCCACACCCACTCAGCTCTGATAGCCAACTCTGCTGACCCCTCAGGAAGATCCAGGATCTTTTTCTGGTCATATACCTGCAGCTTCACAGAGCTAGAACCAGGTCCCTGATAAAAAAGACGTTTAGTCCAAAGAGCAGAGCAGAGAAGCCGGCCTTTCTGTGCAAAAGTTCCACTTATTTAGGACTTACTGTATGCAGGTGTAACATAAATTCTCCCTTCAGTCTCACAATAATTCTCCATAATAGCAATTATTATACCTGGTTTATATATAAGGAAATGGTTCAGATGAGCCTGTGTAACTCTAATGAACTATAAAATTTCACCCAAGAAGTGAAATAATTTTAAGTTTACACAAGTTAGTAAATAACCAATGTCTTGGGTCAGCCAGTATGCAGGAGCTGCGAGCTTTTGGAGTGCATGGAGGACTAGGCAGACTGGACTGAGGTTGCTGCTGGGTCTGGCTGTGTCCCCATGTGTCCTTCTCACTCACTTTGCCTTTGATCCCACACAGCACCTGAGATGAGTGTGGCTTGCCAAGATGTCACTCAATCTACTGACCCCTTGCCTCATTTGGGTGGAACTTTCTCAAATGACTCCCCTCAATAAATAGGGCTTCAGAACGTCTTCTCTCTCTCTCTCTTGTCTGCCTCTCTGGCTTCCCTCGTGGGAGCTGAGACTGAGGAGCTGTCACTAGACCCTGAGAGAAAGGCACTTTCTGTATCTGTGTGTCATTATTTCGTGTCAACCCCAAATTCACCTGGGGTGACCCTGAATGATTTAGTCGTGTGTCACAGCAAAACAAAACCAGGAATCCAATGTACAAATTAACCTTTATTCAAGACCTGCCATATACCCGAATTGTACATTAAGCATAAATCTGTCAACCAGAGAGGAAGACTGGCCTCTCCCCAGCACACGCTCCCTGTGTCCCAAGGGGAAATGGCTCAGGAAAGCAAGTACTGCGCTCCACTCCGGCTGGGTGGGCTGGAGGCTCGGTCCTCTGTGTGGTGGTGCAGAGGTGGGGGGCCCT